GGGGCGGTATTGCAAGCGTCACAGCGCACGTCATTTTGGACATTTTTGAGCTGGGACCCGCCCCCACTGGTTTATCACTGGTTTATCACTGGTTTATCACTGGTTTATCACTGGTTTATCACTGGTTTATATCACTGGTTTATCACTGGTTTATCACTGGTTTATCACTGGTTTATCTCTGGTTTATCACTGGTTTATCACTGGTTTATCACTGGTTTATCACTGGTTTATCACTGGTTTATCTCTGGTTTATCACTGGTTTATCACTGGTTTATCACTGGTTTATCTCTGGTTTATCACTGGTTTATCACTGGTTTATCTCTGGTTTATCACTGGTTTATCTCTGGTTTATCACTGGGTTATCACTGGTTTATCACTGGGTTATCACTGGTTTATCTCTGGTTTATCTCTGGTTTATCACTGGTTTATCACTGGTTTATCACTGGTTTATCACTGGTTTATCACTGGTTTATCACTGGTTTATCACTGGTTTATCACTGGTTTATCTCTGGTTTATCACTGGTTTATCACTGGTTTATCTCTGGTTTATCACTGGTTTATCTCTGGTTTATCACTGGGTTATCACTGGTTTATCACTGGGTTATCACTGGTTTATCTCTGGTTTATCTCTGGTTTATCACTGGTTTATCACTGGTTTATCACTGGTTTATCACTGGTTTATCACTGGTTTATCACTGGTTTATCTCTGGTTTATCACTGGGTTATCACTGGTTTATCACTGGGTTATCACTGGTTTATCTCTGGTTTATCTCTGGTTTATCACTGGTTTATCACTGGTTTATCACTGGTTTATCACTGGTTTATCTCTGGTTTATCTTTGGTTTATCACTGGTTTATCACTGGTTTATCACTGGTTTTCACGTGACTGCATTAATAGCCTCAGGCACATATATAGATTAGTTTTTTTCTTTTTCCAGACAGAAAAGAGAGATTGGAGATCCACCCTCTCTTAGCCAATCATATCTCAATTCAAAGCATCGATAGTCACTCACAGGGTTCTTTGTTTTATCATAAGATGAATTAAATAACTTACTTTTACAAGACAAGCTTTAAGAATAGAGTGAGTACTTCCCTGCCTTTGTCACAGCTTTAGAACAGCATGTTTCAGACTAAAAAGAAGCTCTCAGGCCAAAGTATCAGGCATTTCAAAGTTAAGTGTTTGAATTCCAGGAAACAAACAGACTCGACTCTCGAAGGTTCCACGGTTTCAATAAAATACACAAGTTTGGTGAAGTTGGAAAAGTTTGATTTCCCCTCAGTAATTTACAGTAATTGGGATCGGAGAAAAGCGGTGCTCTACGGGATTACACAGACGGTCCCGCCCACGAAGGGATTAAAAATGAATTGAAATTAAATAAATGAGGAAATGAATATGTGACGGTGGGCGGGTGATGGAGGCCAATGAAACATCTGGACTGAGGGAAGAACGAGCTTGGTTCAAGTTGAAGTAGCCTTAGCCTTAGCCACGTACGTCTGGTCTTACCATGTGTAAACTCTGGTCCATGGTCATTTCCTACATGTACGTCTGGTCTTACCATGTGTAAACTCTGGTCCATGGTCATTTCCTACATGTACGTCTGGTCTTACCATGTGTAAACTCTGGTCCATGGTCATCTCCTACATGTACGTCTGGTCTTACCATGTGTAAACTCTGGTCCATGGTCATTTCCTACATGTACGTCTGGTCTTACCATGTGTAAACTCTGGTCCATGGTCATTTCCTACATGTACGTCTGGTCTTACCATGTGTAAACTCTGGTCCATGGTCATTTCCTACATGTACGTCTGGTCTTACCATGTGTAAACTCTGGTCCATGATCATTTCCTACATGTACGTCTGGTCTTACCATGTGTAAACTCTGGTCCATGGTCATTTCCTACATGTACGTCTGGTCTTACCATGTATAAACTCTGGTCCATGGTCATTTCCTACATGTACGTCTGGTCTTACCATGTGTAAACTCTGGTCCATGGTCATTTCCTACATGTACGTCTGGTCTTACCATGTGTAAACTCTGGTCCATGGTCATCTCCTACATGTACGTCTGGTCTTACCATGTGTAAACTCTGGTCCATGGTCATCTCCTACATGTACGTCTGGTCTTACCATGTGTAAACTCTGGTCCATGGTCATTTCCTACATGTACGTCTGGTCTTACCATGTGTAAACTCTGGTCCATGATCATCTCCTACATGTAAGTATCTGGTCTTACCATGTGTAAACTCTGGTCCATGATCATTTCTTACATGTACGTCTGGTCGTACCAATGTTAAAACTCTGGTCCATGGTCACTCCTACATGTACGTCTGGTCTTACCATGTGTAAACTCTGGTCCATGGTACATCTCCTACATGTACCTCTGGTCTTACCATGTGTAAACTCTGTCCATGATCTTTTCCTACATGTACGTCTGGTCTTACCATGTGTAAACTCTGGTCCATGATCATCTCCTACATGTACGTCTGGGTCTTACCATGTGTAAACTCTGGTCCATGGTCATTTCCTACATGTACGTCTGGTCTTACCATGTGTAAACTCTGGTCCATGATCATTTCCTCCATGTACGTCTGTTCTTACCATGAGTGTAAACTCTGGTCCATGGTCATTTCCTACATGTACGTCTGGTCTTACCATGTGTAAACTCTGGTCCATGGTCATCTCCTACATGTACGTCTGGTCTTACCATGTGTAAACTCTGGTCCATGATCATCTCCTACATGTACGTCTGGTCTTACCATGTGTAAACTCTGGTCCATGATCATTTCCTACATGTACGTCTGGTCTTACCATGTGTAAACTCTGGTCCATGATCATCTCCTACATGTAAGTCTGGTCTTACCATGTGTAAACTCTGGTCCATGATCATTTGCCTACATGTACGTCTGGTCTTACCATGTGTAAACTCTGGTCCATGATCATTTCCTACATGTACGTCTGGTTCTTACCATGTGTAAACTCTGGTCCATGATCATTTCCTACATGTACGTCTGGTCTTACCATGTGTAAACTCTGGTCCATGGTCATCTCCTACATGTACGTCAGGTCTTACCATGTGTAAACTCCTGGTCCATGGTCATCTCCTACATGTACGTCTGGTCTTACCGTGTGTAAACTCTGGTCCATGATCATCTCCTACATGTAAGTCTGGTCTTACCATGTGTAAACTCTGGTCCATGATCATCTCCTACATGTACGTCTGGTCTTACCATGTGTAAACTCTGGTCCATGATCATTTCCTACATGTACGTCTGGTCTTACCATGTGTAAACTCTGGTCCATGATCATTTCCTACATGTACGTCTGGTCTTACCATGTGTAAACTCTGGTCCATGATCATTTCCTACATGTACGTCTGGTCTTACCATGTGTAAACTCTGGTCCATGATCATTTCCTACATGTACGTCTGGTCTTACCATGTGTAAACTCTGGTCCATGATCATTTCCTACATGTACGTCTGGTCTTACCATGTGTAAACTCTGGTCCATGGTCATCTCCTACATGTACGTCTGGTCTTACCATGTGTAAACTCTGGTCCATGGTCATTTCCTACATGTACGTCTGGTCTTACCATGTGTAAACTCTGGTCCATGGTCATCTCCTACATGTACGTCTGGTCTTACCATGTGTAAACTCTGGTCCATGATCATTTCCTACATGTACGTCTGGTCTTACCATGTGTAAACTCTGGTCCATGGTCATCTCCTACATGTACGTCTGGTCTTACCATGTGTAAACTCTGGTCCATGATCATCTCCTACATGTACGTCTGGTCTTACCATGTGTAAACTCTGGTCCATGATCATTTCCTACATGTACGTCTGGGTCTGATCCTAGTGGCTGCAGTTTCCTCGGTTAAATCTCCTCCGACCAATCAGAGAGCGGGGGAGGAAATTTGCTGGTTTTAGTTTGGCGGAGAATGCGATAGTAAAGTAATCCGTTCTGGTTCAGCTCCAAATATAAAGAGATGAAGAATGTTTATCAAATGTCATTGCTGCAAAGATGTTGTGGCTCTACTCTCCTCGGGCTCCATTAGTGGCAAAGGAGACGGCTAAAGCTAGGCTACATGCTAAAGCTAGGCTACATGCTAAATGCGCATTACATACGTCACTCACATACGTAATCTCAGACCTAATCGTTTCAATCTGCAAAAGGAGTAAACCCCTCCTTCCTGTCAGTGGAGCAAACCCAGGCCTTAGTACGAACTGAAATGAGTCCTATGGTGTGGTAAGACCAGGCTAACATTGGAGGAATAGAAGTTATTTTCACACAGCAGCCTTTTGTTGTATGACCTGTTTTGAATCCTGTGTCGACTCTGGGAAACAGTGGGACTGGTTTGCGAGTTGTTTGGACCCGTGTCGACTTTTCCCCACAAGGAAAAATAACAAGACTCACTTTCAGAGTTGGTGTTTAAAAGTCACAGTGTGGTCCAGATATAGTGAAATACATGTATAGTGATAGACTTAAGCTATTTTATAATCTGTGCAGAGAGATATTTGCATTTTCAAATACGTTTTTTTTGTACAAGGACAACTTTAAATAGGAAAGAACAGCCGGTGTGAAAGTCCAAACCTTGATGGTAAGACCTTCAGTGCAAAATATCGACCCTGGAATGACTTGTACTTTTACAACCTTCTCACATGAAAGCCACGTCCTATTGAACAGTTTTGTGATAACTGTCGCTAGATTTGGTGGGAACAAAAAGACAAATGCCGCACAATCCTCTTTCAGTTGCCGTTCATCAAGTAGCATTTTCTGCAAACCCTTCTTCCCTCTCTCCTCGTTTTCGCGAAGCCCTCTCTCAAACACTCTACCGTCGAGTTCACTCCCGGGTCAGACAGATTTTGGCATTTCAATTCTGCATTCCATTTGTTGCATCTTGCTCGGAGCGACTTAGCAGCTAGCGAACCCTAACATCGCGGGGCCACGTCTCCGCTGCTTTGAGAGAGGTTCATTTCTCCAAAAGCAGTGTTTTGAAAATGAAATGTGGCGACGGAGATGTTTCCAGTGCCCAGGTGCGGAAAGACATCTGGCTTTGGTTCGTTTTTAAGGTTCGGTGATATTTAATGCAGCTACGGTACATAACTCCTAGTGTGGAAAGTATTTTGCTTACTTGATGCACTCGGTGGGCGATGTGAATATGTATGTTTTGGACAAAGGGCCAAATGTCATAAACTCAATTCAATTTGTTTTTGTTACAGCCCTAAACCACAGCGGCAGTCGTCTCAGGACTTTACGAAGAGATCAGAGAATTACACAGTTTAAACACAAGAAATACGAGAATAACAAATATATACTGTAAGAGCCATTGGTCCAAAGGGAGAAGAATGACCAATTGTTCTCTATTGATTTTCAAACATGCATAATCACACATACATATATACAAATACATTTACACATCAGCACCTACATAAAGCATTTCCATGACAGTACTTGTCTTTTTTTATACATCCTTAATTTCATTTTTATTAATTATCATTTTCTTTGGTCATTGCGCTGGACCCTTTCCCTCCTCCACCAACTTATCCTGCACTACTGTCTTGTACATAGTAAATTATGTTTTGGAATTTGTATCACATGATGTTAAATAATAATAATATTTTTAAAAAAAGTTAAACAATTTAGAACAAAATGTTGATAAATGTCATATTCATCTATGAACAAACATGTCCGAGATTATTGTCATTTTGAGAGGACGTTAAATGTTTTCAGACCCGTCCGTGCCGTAGTCAGGAACTTCTGGCACTAAAATGTAACTCTGGTCCTGTTTGATGTCATTGTACCGCTATGACATCACGCTCGGAGCAGATTTGTGGATTTAAAAACACAAGTACTGCCAACAAATGAGTTGGTGAGTCAGGAAATTGGTTTATAAAGTAAGTCATCTTCATCTGTACAGTACATTTCACAGACCACGCTCACCCAAAATGCTTTACAATGTGAAATGTGTTTTTTGCAACCACATGGAAGTTGCAGCCGGTAATTTTTAAATTCAACAACATACAAATACATTCTACGCCCCCCTCTGGTGGTAGTGGAGGGATATGACAGGTCAAGAATATTGTTTACCCGCAAACTTCACCATTTCTCCATATATGTTCTACTCAACCCTATAATTTTCTAAGATATTGGAGCACAATTAGATGTTTGTAGTTCAACCCGTTTTTAATTTTGAAAATAGCCTTTTACAATTGTCTGATGGTAAAACATGCACAAGTACAACATGACATGACAAAGGAAATAATATCATTGTCCTTTGTTAAAAACACACAATTGCATACTATTTCTTGTTATTTAAAACGTGTATTTTCTGAACAGATCGGCCACTTCTTCCCTGGACACAGCTCCTCCGTCACCTGCACCTGTGTTTACGAGCGTGTGAGAGTTAAGAGTCAGCGCAGATGGCTGAGCTCTGCCGCTGTCACGTTTTTGGGCCTTTAGATCGTTCAAACGCTTCATCCTGTCTCCCAACACCTGCTGCAAACGCCTGTGGACTCAGCTCTGCAATGTGACCTCCGCGGGAACACCAAGAAGAAGAGAATTAGAGAAATGTTCAA